TATATTGTTGCGTTATACATGTTATCAAAAGAATATTACAATATGATGATAAATGTTTAATGATAAAAACATCCTTTGTGTTCCTTCTCCCAAAAGCTGGTAGTTTACCTGTATCACTGATTCCCTGAGAAATACAAGTGGTTTTGAAAAGTGTCAACAATTAAGTTGGTGAGTTCATGAGTGTTTTGAGTTGAAAAGTATATCCCTTTTGGTAGTAAATTGGTAAACGAGGTTTTTAGAAAATCCAATATTTTCTTGTAAAATGAAAAAGTTTCCAAAGTTGGAATGTGTTAGTAACCTTTATAATCAAATGATAACAATAATTTTGTATGAAAATATAATGTAGGAAAATTGCGATGCACATATGAATCTCGTAAATCAATCTTGTTTTATACTTTTTATGTGAGTTTTATAACCATACTAATGACACTGACGGCCTGTAACAACATTCTTCAAGTGTTGCAGTGTTATGACTTTGTCACCCCAGACCTGCCGGTCTAACTATAGCTAGTAGTTTAGGTGCGGGATTGTCAATCCCGTATAGATCTATACACAAGTATCACGCTCTCCCTCCAAGAGATTATGGTATATAATACAGGACTTGAAATGCATACAAAAATGTACGTTGAAGTTTAAATATCTCACATTGACTAGTATAAATAGATTTACAATGAAATAACCTTACTTCTTTTGAAAGTGTTTCGTTTTTCAATTTGTATAAAATGTAGGATTGACTTGCTAACTATACCCATTATAGTTTTTCAGATAGTATGTTCCATTTCGTAGAAATAACTTAGTGATATAATCGCTCTTGTATACATAAGATGTTTGTATCGATATTCGAAGTTAGAAATTGCATTTATGTTTATAAAATGATACTTTTAACGTGTAATGTACTTGTATTTCCCCCCTAAAACATGAAAAAGAATTGAAAAGTAGGGGTATGAACTCACTCGTTAAGTTTGAAGAGGAAGACTAGAGTTAAGTAGAACTTCGATCGCGGATACTTGCGTCGTCGGGCTCTTTGGGGATCGCTGCAACGTAGATCTTTCGTCGGGGGCTCGAGTGCGGAAACCGAGGTGATGGACTGGTCTCTGGAGCTTTATAAGGGTGTGAGAGTATCTGGAGGTTTGAGAATGTGTGCTTAAATTCGCAGCTGAACCTTTCTATTTATAGGCTGAAATTGCCTCGTACGCAGGGCGTAACTTTGGAGTACGCGAGGCGTACTCACGTACGCAGCGCGTACGTCGTTACGCTGGGCGTAAAAATGCGTCATGGCTTACGGCTCCTGGCTAGCTAGGCGTAGCTTGGGCGGGCCGATGGGACTCGACTCTGGGTCTAGTACGCGGGGCGTACTCTCAGAGTACGCGGGGCGTAATCCCTGCTTCCAACTTCTAAATTCCGTAACTTTCGCGTACGAGCTCCGTTTCTCGCGTTCTTTATATCCACGCGTAGGTGAGATTATGATCTACAACTTTCATTTAGACTCCGTCGGCTAGTTTTGACTTTATTTTTAATGATATAATTTTAATAGGCCGGGCCTCCTAAAGTTTGTTAAAATTTCATAGGTTCTTTATTCGACGTCGGTTTTCGTTTGTCTTTCTATTGTTTTATTACCACCGAGGAGATCTTCAAATTCCGTTTAGGTGGCGATAGTTAAATAACACTCGATCTTTAATCCGAGTTTTTAGCCCTCTACTACTGTTACGAAACTTTGAAAATTTGTAACTTCTTCATACGAGGTCCAATTTGGGCGATCTTTTTATGCACGCTCATCTTTCAACATGATCTACGACTTTTGTTTAGATACTTTAAGGCTAAAATGAATTTTATTGAGATTCCACTTTTTACGTCAAATAATGTTTTAACGTCGTGTCGAAAATATACGAGTGGTTATAATTTCTTCAATATAACTCGGTTTTGAGCGTTCTTTATGTTTTTGGAAACCTGGGCATGATATCTAATATTTGATGCATCCCAACTTAGATACTTGAACACTTTATTTTTGAGGTTAATTTCGTTGTTTTTAGCTTTCGAGTGTTTACAATGCTTTTGGAAAAAATAGGGTTGTCACAAGTATGGTAGGTACATTTGGCTGTATGATCTCTATTCATTACTAGTGAATATTAGACAATATAGTGTTGGTAACTTTTGCAAGTGGGAGTGATGGAGAATGGTGCCCATCGTTACAACACAAATACAACAATTGGAACTCTTAATAGTAGGGTCATTTTAGGTTACACGTAAGGACATAAATAAACAATAAATGACATGGGAAAATTATAGGGACTTTATTTGTTTATTAATTAATAGTTTTAATTAGTTAAATGAAATCTAGAAGTTCTAGAATGTTCTGGAGGATAAAATAAAATATTAAGCAGTCAGATAATTTTTAGGGTTCTTATATCATTCCCTATAAATAAAGAGGCATATGGACGGATTTAGATGATGAGAAATCTCAAAACCATAAAGAAAATTCGGTCCTACCTCTTCATTCCCGAAACCCTCAAAATCATGATGCCACGTCGTGGTACCTATTGTTCCAGCGGATTCAGATTTTTGGAGCTTCGTTCATGGTGTTTGTTGTTGATCTGAGTGCCTTGGGTGCGACTACAAAAGAGGGGTTCTACATTGGACTCTTAGCTCTTATCAATCAATCAAGGATCTATGAGGGTTTCTATAAACCATAATATGTAAGTTTTCTTGCATATTTAAGTTGCATCGGATAAGTTGTTCATAGATCCGAGTTTTCGGCCTATTGAGGATTAACATTGTTGCTTCCGCTGTCCCTCTAATGTTGTTTAATGATCCTCAAAACCCATCAGAAACTGTGACATTCAGTTTCCCGCAGATTCAACAAAAGCTGAATCTTCAAGTAGGATCAAGTCAAGTGTCAGAAGTACCACTAAGTCTAAGAGTAGATCTAATGTCAAAATTAGTAAAAAAAGTAGCCAAGAATATCAATACTATTGATCTAAGAAACTTGTAGTGATGTTTGTGCGAAATTATAATATTCTAAAAATTATTGTTCGGTCCGATAGATATTTGCAGCTGGATTGATAGTCCGAAATTACTGTGTTTGAAATGTCATAATGTAGTCCGATATTAGTGACTTCGAAATGGAGTCCGAATTGGTATTTATAAGGGGACCATAATCAAATATTAAGCAGTCAGATAATTTTAAGGGTTCTTATATCATTCCCTATAAATAAAGAGGCATATGGACAAATTTAGATGATGATAAATCTCAAAACCATAAAGAAAATTCGGTCCTACCTCTTCATTTTCCGAAACCCTCAAAATCATGATGCCACGTCGTGGTACCTGCTGTTCCAACGGATTCAGATTTTTGGAGCTTCGTTCATGGTGTTTGTTGTTGATCTGAGTGCCTTGGGTGCGACTACAAAAGAGGGGTTCTACATTGGACTCTTAGCTCTTATCAATCAATCAAGGATCTATGAGGGTTTCTATAAACCATAATATGTAAGTTTTCTTGCATATTTAAGTTGCATCGGATAAGTTGTTCATAGATCCGAGTTTTCGGCCTATTGAGGATTAACATTGTTGCTTCCGCTGTCCCTCTAATGTTGTTTAATGATCCTCTAAACCCATTAGAAACTATGACTTTCAGTTTCCCACAGATTCAACAAAAGCTGAATCTTCAAGTAGGACCAAATCAAGTGTCAGACGTACCACTAAGTCTAAGAGTAGATCTAATGTCAAAATTAGTCAAAAAAGTAGCCAAGAATATCAATACTATTGATCTAAGAAACTCGTAGTGATGTTTGTGCGAAATTATAATATTCTAAAAATTATTGTTCGGTCCGATAGATATTTGCAGCTGGATTGATAGTCCGAAATTACTGTGTTTGAAATGTTCATAATGTAGTCCGATATTAGTGACTTAGAAATGGAGTCCGAATTGGTATTTATAAGGGGACCACAATATTGGGTCGGATCATATACTCATTATCGTTTACGAAATACGGTCCGAAATGACCAATTTTAGATATTGTGGTCGTTTTAAAAAAATGTGGCTATTCTTTTAAAATAACATTATAAAGTTGTTAGATCACTCAGTGTTATGGTTGCGGATTTTATATTATATTTTTTTGTGCCGAATTTAGGAAAAGTTGATAACTTTAGGCAAAATAAATTCACGAATAGATTTACTTTAAAAATAATAAACTTATCTTAATTTATTTATGTATTTTGTAATTTTTTTCTATTAAATATTTTGATTCTTTAAAACTCTTTTGAGGAATGATGTTATGTTTATCAAACTCTACCCCAGCCAAATCCTTACCATTAACCAAACGTTCTCAATAGGAAGGACATTCAGCTTGTAGGTATCCAACAATACATATTTTTTTGTTTTGCCGAGAAAACAAGACAGTGTACATCTTCCATACCATATTTTGAAATTGTAAGCAATCAAAAAGTCTTACTTTTGTAATTTTACCGCATAGATATTATATATTAAAAAAATATATTCACTAAAACCGACATTTTTATTATGTCTCAATTTTATATGAGTAGAGGAATAATTAAGAATAAAATATAGAAGGATATTTAATTTTTCTTCTTTAATATATATTAGCAAAATTACTAATTTTTTAAATAAAAACTTAAATTACCATCAATTTTGAAGAAACAGATCTAAATTATTTTATTTTTTTCTAACAAAAAATAATTTTTTTTATTTGTAAAAACAATTTAAAAAACTGTTTTTTAGTATTCAAAAATTATTTTGTCTCAAAAACACAATTTTTAAAATTGTTTTTTAATTCAAAAAAACAACTTTTGAAATGTTTTTGTATAAAAAAATTGTTCGACAATCTATATATTTCAAAATTTACGGATTTGTAATTTTTGTTAATCCTATCATTATTGAAGAAAAAATTTCAAAACACTCGAGAAACAAAAATAGATACTATAATCAACAAATGAAGAAAAATAACTTGTTATTTCTTGAAATTACAAGTTTTATTATCTTCTAACATCATTAAAAAAAACATATTAAAATCAATAAATAAAACAAAATTTTTGTACAAAATTCTACTAGAAACTCACCAAAACAAACTCAAAATCTTTGAAGTAAAAGCAAAATTCCATTTTTGCTTTTCAAACATCACCCAAAACCCCCTTTAAAACATCCAATCCCTCCGCCGATATGCTCCTCCGCCGGTGTATTTTCGGTACCTCAATCTTAGGCGGCGGATCACCGGAGAAACAAACCACCACCACCGTCAGATTATCACAACTATTCCTCTTCGAAGCCTCCTTCACCAATTCTCTCGAACACTTCTCCGGATCGTTATGTAACATAAGCTCCTTCCGTACAATCGTCACAGCGTATTGACTACTCATCACGTCCCATAAACCATCGCATCCGATTATCAAAAACTCATCTTCTTCAGACAACGTGACTTCCTCGAGCTCCGGCTCGGCGCTTAATGGGCCGTCGGAGCCTTTTGGGCCCTTCATATGCCAGTCGCCTAGGGCTCGGGCAACCGAGAGTTGACCGTTGAGATACCCATCGTAAATCACGCCTCCGAGTTTCTCGATTCGCTGTTTCTCCGATGAGCAACTCGGTTTGTGGTCTGTTGAAAGCTCGATTGCTCTTCCTCGCTTCCCTAATACTGCTCTTGAATCTCCGGCGTTTGCAATTAACATGTTTCTGTCAATAAACAGGTAATCATGAGCTATCAATCATCAGCAATCATCATTATTTCGAATTTGTCTCAGATTTGACGAAAGATGATCTTACCTTCCCAATATGAGCGCAGTTAAAGCAGTGGTTCCGGAGGAATTATCAAGAGATCGAGTATCGGCTAACGCATGATCGACTTTAGAAAATGCATTTTTTACTGCTTTTTTCACTGCTTTTGGGAAGCTTGAATCCTCTAGAATGAACTCAAGAATGTTTCGTTTAGTAAATGATGCAGCATCAACTCCACCATGTCCATCAAACACCTGAAAATTTATTTAATTCGATATATCATTTCGAGGATTAATCAATAATGCGCTAACTTCCCAAATGAAAAACAAATAGCAATGTACTTTCCTTTATTAATCATACTTCAAAAAATATAATAATCAAATAAATGGAAGTACAATGCTATTTCCTGCATTTAGCTAAATAAATAATTGTAAATCAAATATAGTTACCCCATAAAAAGCTCCATGCAAAGCGTAATCCGGTTGTGCATCTAAATGTTCTCGAAGATTATCTACACAAACATATTCGTCTTCCATATATGGCTTTGGACCCATCTCCGAACAACTTCCCGAGCGAAAAATTGGTGAATATTGAGATCTCTCATTTTGAGGTGACTTGGTACCTTCATTTGTTGATTTCTATTAAGAGAGCATAAACGAATTATTAGGTGTTTAGAAAAGGGTTATTCTTCCAACAATGTTCATGTGGCCTACACTAGGTTAAGAACATCATGTGAAGTGTAGATAACAAGTGGCCCCTAGATTGTTGGCATAAGGATCTTAATCCATATTTAAATTAAACCCTTGTTCGGGGTAGAAACATTACACACCAGCCTAAGGCACCCCCACCAAAATAGAGAATGTAATTTTACTAGAGCTGTAAACGAACTGAATATTCAGCAAACTGTTCGGTGGAAAGTTCGTTTATTTAATAAACAAACATACATAAGAGGAAGTTTATTAATTTAATAAATGAACAAACATGCACAAGATTTTTTTTGCTTGTTTAACTTAGTTAAATGAACGAACACGAACAATGACTTAGTTTGTTTATTTATGTCTAAGAACATTTGTTTATGTTCATTAGTTTAGCACGTTTATGTCCGGTGAGAATGAGAGTGGAGCTTTTAAGAGTGGTTTAAAGTTTTACAACATCTAAATTGTTAAAAATATCAAAGCAACATTGCAAAATACAATCAACATATGAGAAGTGTTGATGATCAAGTTTTATGGTTTTCTATTTTGATATTTATTTTCATTTATGTTCGTTTACAACCTCTTGATCAATGTTGAACCTAAGACCTCAATTATGGATTCTCATGTGTGTTGCTAATGCAAAAAAACATGAAGCATGATAGGGGATGTTTGAATATGGATTTTCAAACTATGAGAAATTAAATATTCTTCTATTTTTTTTCTCCTACCAATCCTTCTACCATTTTTATATGATAACAAGTGTAATAAAAAATAATTAATTTTATTAAACATAAAAAGTATCACAATCTTAAGTGTATGTGACTACAATAGAACAAAAAAGTAGGAGGATATTTTATTTCTCTCAAACAATTTATTCCAACACGACTAATCACAATGAAAATTAAATAATTAGTTCAAGTTAGAGATAGTTAAGTAATTTAATATTTATTTCAGTAATCAGTTTCTCTAAACATGACTAGATTGACCATAACAGTTAGAAAATCAAAATCATAATCGGATAAATGGCTAAAGATTTGATATTTTTTTAATAAAAAAGAAATGTAGGTCACTTTGCTAGAGACAAATTACATAACAAATTAGATATTAAACCCCCCAAAACAACAACTTATGAACTAATCTTTCAACATACTACTCTCATAAACCACTTAAAGTAAAAAATGTAACATTAATTTCTATATATAACTTGAACAACAAAGAAAGATCATGGAAAAATGGATCAAATGACAAAAGATGTTGATATCATAATTAAATTACTTACCGAATCAGAGGTGCCAGCTAACATCGCTTGACTGATACAATGTCGCATAGGCTGATAATTTCTTGGAGGCTTAGCAGCTTTTGATTGGTTGATGTTATCAGAATCCTCAGCCTCATCATCGTCATCTTCCATAGAATTCACAGGCACACATTCCTTCGAGTATCCATTCTCCAATGATGAACATTGAGGCAACACATCAGTCCCAGGACCCATTTTCACCGTTCTCTCAGTCAATCCATCAAACACTTGGTATGCAAACTAAATAAATAGAAAGAAAAACTCAATCCAGACAGTTCATTAACAGCCCATTTTGTTATTGTTGTTGTTATTACAGCATATAAACAGCTGTATAGCAGTTAATCCTCGATTTATAAGCAACCAACAGTAGCGCAAGAATCCATTATTTTAAACAACACGAAGCTGTAGCCTTCCATTTCTTGAAATTTGTGAAGAAACGATCAGGCCCACATGCGGGATAACTAGTTGATGATATCTGAATCGTGATTCATTCTATGTAAAGCAAGAATCCCAACAAAACATATGGTTTGAATTGAGCAACACGAAAAAAGGGAAGAGGAAAAATGAAAAATTGAAGAAGAAAGTGATAAAGAAGATGGAGAGAAGAGAATCAATTACGGAAAGCAAAGTAGTAGGAGAGGGAGGGCCATTGAAGTTAGGAAGCAATTTTCCGTTAAAATGGAGGGTGAGGTTTGTAGGCAAAGGGCGAAAGAGGAGAGTGATGACACGTGTTTCTTCACGTGGTATATCAGTTGACCTTGCAAACAAAAAGCTTTTTAGTAAACGGCAAAACATTAAAATATGTGCTAAACTCACACTTTACTTTTTGCTTAATAAATCAGCATTAATTTCGTAAATTGGATCTCTAATTTTTTTTTTAGACAAATTAAATTAATTTTTACATTTTATGTTTATAATTATTCCTATCCATTAAAATTATGATAAATCATCATTCAATTTAATTGTATTTTATATATTCCTAATATAACCTTAATGAATTAGTTAAAAAAATATGGAATTATGATATTTGTTATAATTTTATTGGGTATGAACATTTACAATTTTTTAAACGGCAAATTATCTAAAGTTACTCTTAAATACTATCTATGTCTCCTAAGAGATTTGAACCCATGACCTTTCATTCGAAAGGATCACTCCTTACCGTTAGACCAAATGCCACATTTCTTACCGGCTAGTATTGATTAGTTGATCTTTTGAAAGCCTTTAATCTTTTAAAAGTATTGCGGAAATTAAGTCTCAAAACTTCAAGTTAAACAATAATAGTGCTGGAGCTTGTCGTTAACTTTTATTGAGCCGAGCTTCAAACGAGTTTTTAAGCTTGACGAATGAGTTGAGCTTGAACCGAGCTTAAGCTTGTTTTAAAGATTGTTCTTCAAACGAGCCAAATCCGAGCTTGTAAAATTATTAACGAGCCAAGCTTGAATTTTATGCTTAAAGCACGTAACGAGCTGAGCTTGAATTTAGTTAGGCTCGGGATCAGCTCGACCCGTTTACACCTCTTTGGAAAACGAATGTCAAATGGTACAACGAATGTCAAATATGGGAATCACTCCCCAAAAGTGTCCAACAACAGTCCATTCAACCCATTCTAAATAACATTTATATATATCACTCTTAATTTTTTCAAATCAAGCTAATATCCCTCAAATGAAATACTCTTTCAACATAAGTTTCATGAATGCAACAAGTTACATATAATAGCCACATATTTAATATATGAGAATGAATAAGATGTTTATCAAAGAGTTGTGACAGGGACATATACTCACAATATATACTCACCTTAGTTTGGTAGTAGCTATTCATTGGTGTCAATACTAGAAATGTTTGATTGTATAAAGTCAACCTATATAAATAATTTATACTAATCACCTAAGTGTTATATTAAGTTCTTAATAACTCAATAATGATAAACTAATGTTATATCCTAAATAAACTAGTTAAGTCATTAGAAGAACCATGAAATTGGTGTGAGGTTAAGAGGACCAGCCAAACCGAAGTTTTAACATTTTCGTGGTTTCAAGGCAAAAGAGGACACGTGTCTTGTCATTTTGTTCTTGGGAAACACATGGGATGTGTAGTGTGCATGCCTGTCTAATTCAACACATAAGACGTATAGTGTTCATGCCTGTCTAATTCGACATTTTTTATATGTTCAAGTAACGTACTTTGATATCATTGCTCAGAAACCTTTCATAGACTCTCCAAATGATTACTCAAGGTACAATAAGACATTAACATATTTCACTACTCAAATACAAGTTATTTCTTCAATGAAATAATGATGCAAAAGTCTTAATGCTTCAAAAGTTTGAATAGACTTGATGGAATTCATCAAACTTCCAAATTAAGAATGAAGCTTCTTTTAACCTCATAAATTCATGTAGGTTGATTCTTATTGTCTTAATGGACTCAAATGTCATTCTAAGCATGTTATTATCCTTTTGAAAACATGATTACAAATGTCCCCTTCTTCTTCAATACGTCTCTTCTTCGCCGTCACCACCTATACTAGCCACCTACATCATCACCGCTTATACAAGAAATATCTCTAAAAGTCACCATCGACCATCGATTGTGCCACACCATCTCAGCTCACAACCAATAAATGTTGACTCCGCTATTGAATTACTCGCTTGCACACTTCTATTTAATACAAATCTTATTTTAGCAAGGATTTTGAAAGACCCTAACTTTCGTATTTATGAAAGACCCAAACTTTCATACTATTTCAAAAGATTTCTTAAGTTACTTCCTCAAAACATACTACATGCATATTTATAAAACAATATTTTATATTGATAAAGTGATTACAAAGGATGGATACAAACCGACTAACTTTTATTACATTTCATGTCTACCCAGGAATCTACTATTCATATACATATATGAACATTAAAATACAGAGAAATACTATTAACTATTCTAAATCTTTCAGCAGTATAAAGCTATATTGGAATACTCATCACTTACAATTGTTAAATATTGAGAGGAATAAGCGATAACGCTTAGTGAATTCAATAAATAGATACAATATAATCTTATGCCTTACATATACCAATATGACAGAAGCAGAAGGGAACAAGAACAATAATAGCATATGTGTATCATATGATAGGCTTTCAATATCAACTCAAGATTTGATTCAAAGATTTACGATCAATGAGACATAACGATTTCAATACTTGATATGCATCAATAAAGTTCTGGCTAAAATGGCACAGAAGACATATAATTTCTGATTAACATTTTGATAGATTTCAGACTTATAGCCCTGTCTAACCATTTACCAATACCATAGAATAGAGTTCATTCTCTTACGGAGTAATGCTCTACATGGTCAGAGGCTACATATCATTCCTATCTAACCTTCTGCCAATTCCATAGAATAGAAGTCATTCTCTTACGGAGACATGCTCTACATGGCTAGAGGCTACGTACCAGTACCAATGTGAATCTAAGTCCATTCACTGATCACATGGTTAAAGGTATTATATTTGCTATAAACATAGAGAATAAAATAACACGGAAAAATAACTCAGAATAATAACACTGAAAAGCACATAGCATATATAACACATAACACACAATTGTTCCTATATATTGAACTCACCTTGAAATAACCGGAGTTTAAAATAGTAATTTGTGCAGCACTTCGTTACTATAATTAATAGCTTTCTTCGATAAACAAAAAAACGGAAGCTTTATTGAAAACCGGGCCCTGCGAGGGTTGGGCTTCAAACCGAAAAGATGAATTTCTCGGGCTCCAATCTCAACATTGTTTGCCAACTTATTATCTTGCAAAAATCTTTTCTCGTAACTGTAATACGCACCGACATTTAACTCCTCTAAAATCTCATTTTGTTCTCTCTAAAATTTTAGTTGGATCATCTATTTATATTCTAAAATTTAAACCGGCATATTGGTTATTTTGTGCTTACTTTTCTTATAATATTGTCACGAATCCTTGACGACTAACACGTACCTTTTAGTTTGAACATCTCATTAACATTGTATAGGCTTTTGTAACACGTGCCTTATTTGACGAAACCTCATGTTTTTGTATTTTATCTACCAAGTCGGCATATTTCATTTATACTTTTCCTTTTTTATTATTAAAATAATCTATGAAATAAAATACAAACGTGCCTAAACATTTTGGTTATCATGCCAATAACTATTTTTGGTTTGTATTTATACATTAATATAGATATCCTAAATCACAATATATGTATGATAACTTATGTATTTTATATATAATGTTTGGTTAAATAAGAATAAAAGTTATAACTATATATTATCTAGTAAACAAGATATACGTCGTAACCTATAAAAATATCACTAAGTTTCGTAATATAATATTTACATACGAAATATTATTAAATATATAAATGATATTATTTCACGATATATATATATATATATATATATATATATATATATATATATATATATATATATATATATATATATATATATATATATATATATATATATATATATATATATAAAATTGATAATTAACGTCGTAAAATTAATGTAGTGAATTATTATTGGAAATACGGGTGTTACAATTGTACTAGTATTGACGAGACATTCGATCTCGTTTAGGTTGTGTCGGCTAAATGTTTCTAACGAGATTCTCTACAATCCTCAATAATAAAATTTTACTTATTTTAAATTTTATATTTTCTCTAAATTTCACTATTTGGCTTTTAATTGAAATCTCATAAGACTTCCAATATTTTATGAGTGATTCTAAACATAGTTTTACTTCATTTATAGTAAAAACCATCTGTTAGAACTCAACACTCAATTTCACATAGTATTTCACAATTTTATTCATTACAAAACACGATTTCAAAACGTGTATGTTACAGATTTCTTGATCGCTGACCTTCAAATCCAAAAAATTTCCCCTTTCAAAATCTAAAAAATAAACCCCTTTTCCCCAGATGAAACAAACATAGATATCCCTTAATGTTAAGCAAACCACCACCAGTGAAAATAATCCATCCCCATCCTCACAGCTAGCCCTCAATCGTTCCAATTTTTGGCATGTTCTAGAAATCGAGATTTTTGTTATCTTATTTCTCGTCAAACAATCACACCTAATAAACAAACACAAATGATAAGGTTTCACATTTCAAAATCTGATACAAACAATTAATATGTTTAGTAGTGACAACTGAGCTGTTTATTGTTGTCTTAAAGAGGGAAAGATTAGAATAGAGGGAAACTGTCGATGAAATCTAGATGGAGATGTAGTCGACAAGGGATAGAAGGATGGTCTAGATTGATGGAATGGTTGCCGAAGTTCATATCAACGACTTCGGACAGAGATGAAAGAGATTTCTTGAATTCACGTCGATAGAGAGGATGACGGTCTCCAACGTTCAAATCGATGGAGAGGAGGACGGTTTCCATTGGAGGTAGTTTTTTATATTTAATGATTATCAACATGAAATTAAGGGAGTGGTGGGAGATATGGAGGTGGTGGTGTTTACGGTTGTAGACGAGAGAAAAATGGGATGATAAATAAAATGAGGTGCGTATAGGGATGTAAGCGAGTCGAGCTTGACATTAATCGAGTGAGGCTCATTTAAAGTTATCGAAGCTTGAGCTCGGGAAGCATATATGATGTAGCACCTGGTTCCTGGTATGTAAATCTTATTCGAACATT